TACATGTAAATAAAAATTAAGAAAAGAAAAAAGAAAAAGAAATGAGATCTATGTCCTCTCTTTTTCAACCTGGATGGGGCTTTGGGCATGCTGAAAGATGTAGTGAAAGTGAAATAGCATCTTCTGAGGCTCAGCTCGAAAATTCATGTGGCTTTGAATGACTCCTTTGGGGACAATTATGCTGGGAGCCCTCAGCTGCCATGAAAGCTAGTCAGTTACCAGGCATCCTAGAGAAACACCTGAGCAGCCCTTGTCACCCAGCCCTGGTCACCCAGCCTGAGCTGCCTGAGTCTTCCTGGCTGGAGCCCCCAACATGTGAGTGAAGAAACAACTCCTGCCTGGATGGACTGTAAACTCCAGAGACCCCTAGTGAGAACCACCACCCCAGCCCAGTCAACTAAATTCCTGGACAAAAGACATGATTGTTATTGTTTAAACCCACTGTTTAGGGCTGGTCTGTTAGGATGCAATAGACAGCCGACACAGAGTTTTCTGTTACCTGGCAGTAGACTGCTGCCATAACAAAATCTAATTATGGCTTTAGGGCTGGGATGTGGGCAGACGTTCTCATGCTTTGAAGGTCTGTTATTATTATTGGAAACCTGATGGCCTTCAAGGAGGCTGCTGGCAAGGGCTTCAAGGAGAGTGAAGGAAATGTTTTTGGGACCAGGAGAAAAGAGAACCTTTATTAGATAGTAGAATATTTAACAACATTGTCATTTAAAGTGATGTAGACCACAGAAAATGTACCTGAGGAATTAAGGGTATGGGCCAAGAAGAGTTTGTTGGGTTTTTCTGTGTTTTTGTTCTTTGAGACAAGGTCTCCTGTAGTCCCAGCTGGCCTGGAACTCACTATGGAGGCCAGACTGGCCTGGAACTCACAGAGATCCACCTGCCTCTGCCTCCTGAGTGTTGGGATTAAAGGCAGGGAAGGCATACACCACCATGCCCGGCAAGAATTTGTTTTGATAGAATTTTGCTAAGTAATCCAGACTTGAACTCTTGACCCTCCTGCCTCCGCCTCTCAAATACTTGGCATTGCAGTTATGGGTCATGCCCAACTGGGCTAAGGAGACTTTTAAGTAGACTTTTGGAAGTGTTGATTGGATTATTTAGTTGCATTTGACAAGGATGGAGAAAAATGAATTAAAAAGGAAACTGACTTTCAAGCAAAATTTATAGAAAATATAAAAGAGCCAAGGGCTCTGTTTCTTATTTTCAGCCTCTACAAATGGAGAAATATGGTCAAAATATAAAAAGACTCCAGGGCAAAAATAAAACTGAGTGAAATGATAAGACCTTTATATAAATCTCAGAAAGAGCTGGGTGTAGTGGCTAATACCTATAATTCCAGCACTGTAATCCCAGGAGGCTGAGGCAGGAGGATTTCTGTGAGTCTGAAGCTAGTCTGGGCTACATGAAACCCTGCTTCAAAAAAAACTAATGCTGCCTTGTTGAAGAGTTCATGAGAAGTGATATTTAGTTTAAGCACACTCTGTTTAAGAAGAAACTTGCTAGCTGGGCATGGTGGAACAAGCCTTTATCTCACTACTTGCGAAGCTGAGGGGACAGGACTACCCCAAGTTTGGGGCCAGTCTGGGTTACACAGCAAGTACCAGTTTCAAAAATGAGAAGAAAAAAGAAACTGGGTGTGATGGTACTTGCCTATAGTCCTAGCACTTGGGAAATAGAGTCAAGAGTGTCAGAAGTTCAAAACCAGCCTTGGCTACATAGCAAGTTTCAAATCAGTCTGGACTACATGAGACCCTGTTTCAGAAAACTAAAAAGAAAAGAAAAGAAAAGAAAAGAAAAGAACTTGCTTGTGCCCAGCAGTGAATATCTGTTGAATAACAAAAAGAACTTTATGCAGGGGGGGGGGGGATCTGAATGTGAACATGGTGGTTTGAATAAGTGTTCCCCCATAGGTTCTAAGTATTAAAGTATTTTGTCCCCAGTTTGTGGCACTGTTTTGGGAGGTGTCAGGAGGTGCGGTCTTGCTGGAGGAAGCACGTCACTGGGGGTGGGCTTTGAGAGTTCTTCAGCCTTGTCAGACTCTCTGCTCCCTGTGCCTGCTTGAAGATGTGATCACTCAGCTTTCTGTTCTCAACACCTCTGCTGTCATGCCTTCCCACCACCATGGACTCTTACTCTTTTGGGACCATAAGTCAAATAAATTTTTCCTTCTCAAATTTCCCTTGGTCATGGTGCCTTATCACAACAACAGAAAAGTAACTAATACAGTGATCAAAATACAGTGGATGAAATTCTCGAAGAATCAATAAAAAATACTTTTTAAAAAGAACCATATTATTTTAGAGGAATAGAAACTAGTCTCCAAAGATAGTCCCTGGTGAATCATGACTCCTGAAACTGCTTCCTCATAGATCCCCCTTCCCCTCCCTGAACTGGTCTGGGCCGTGACTCCCCTTACCTAACAGAGTATGGCCAAAGTGGTGCTGACTGTGGCAGGCCCCTGCTTTAATAAGGCACAGTGCCTTCTACTTTTGCACTTTTGGGAGCTGTGAACTATTCTATAGGAAGTCTGGTTACTTTCCTGAAGAAATATATATGGAGTGGAGACTGGGAAGGCCACATGGAGAGAGAGAGGCCTTGAGAATGTGTGGAGGTGGGGAATCCCAGAAACCCTTCTTCTGGGCTCAACCTGGCCTGCCAGAGTCCTGGCAAGCATGCCAGACCTATGAAGGCCATCTTGACTTGCTGAGTCCAGTCAAAATCCTGGGTATCAGCAGCTGTCATCTGGCTCCAGCAGTACGAGAGATACTCCTGCCTTAGTGAAATCTGTAGAACTGCTCAGCAACTTACAAAGCCAGAGAGATAATGTGTGTTGTGGTTCATTTTAAGTCATTGAATTTAGGGTGTGTTTTTTTTTTTGAAAGGGTCTCCCTAGTCCCAGCCCACCTGGAAGTCACTATGTGGACGAGGCTGTCCTCGATCTCACAGAGATCTACTTCCCTCTGCCTCCTGGGGGCTGAGATTAAAGGCATGTGCCACCACGCCTGGCATTAGGGTGCTTTTTTAACATTTATTTTAAAAATTATTTGTGTGTGTGTGTGTGTATGTGTGTACATGTGCATATGCACAGTGCATGTATGGAGGTTAGAGGACAGCTCTTGGAAGTCAGTTCTCTCTTGCCACCTTGTGGGACCCAGGGATTAAACTCAAGTCATATGGCCTGTCTGAAAGGGTCTCTACCTACTCAGCAATCTTGTTGGCCCAAGGGTGTTTAATTATAAAGTGGTGGATTATTAAGAAATAAGTGCCAGCCTTGGGAGATGGTTCAGTGGGTAGAAGCTCTCGCTGTATAAGCCCGATGACCTGAGTTCAGACCCCTGGAACTCACGTAAAAAGCCTGATGCAGTGGCATGCATCTGCAATATCAGTACTCTGTAGTAGTATAAAGTGAGGGTGGCTGAGGCAGGAGACTCGCCCTTAAAGTTCACGGGCCAGCTAGCCTGGGGTATGCATCATGGTTTAAGTAAAAGAGAGACCCTGCCTTAAAGAAGGTAAAAGGTGAGAACCAACTTCCAAAAAGTTGTCCTCTGACCCCCACATGCATGCTATGGCATGCACACACATGCGTGCGCACGTACGTACACACACACACACACACACACACACACACACACACAGTAATGCCTAGGACAGAGCCTGGAATATAGAAGGTATATAGCAATATTCAATAGGTATTGTTAACTAAACAAAACTCTTCTGTGAATGGCTTCTCTTAGGCCTACTGCTTCTGAGTTGATCTGTCCATACCCAGATTGTGTGGCAATAAACTGCTGATTTAACTAATTTCCTTATCATTCAAATGGGTTCAATGTTAAGTGGACATCCTATGCACCTGGGGTATAATCAGTTAGTTTGTCTGTGGTGGAAAGGGAGTAGGGGGTTGGCATTTTCTACAAGGTTGCGTAGGTATACAGCACTAAGGGAACGTGAAGAAAGAGCAGAGTCCAGGCAAGGACCTGGGGGATGGCGTGGCTGAAACTGCGGAAGAATAGTCATGATGAACAGGAGGCCATGTCCTGGGGTGGGGGCAGAAGCAGGACTCCCTCTCAGATCATGGAAAGTCCAGAGGTAGGCCCAGGATATGGAACAAAATGAACCAGGCTCAAGAACCCATACTATTTCCATTTCATGTAAGTGAGGTTCAAAACCAGGCAAAACTAAATGGTGCAAGAGAAATCTGTAAGTGTGGTTACCTAGCGGGAGATGGGTGATGTCTGTGGGAAGGGTCTTCAGGGAACCTCTTGGGGCATTCTGGAGCTATTTTGGACTTTAAGCAGATGGGGGTATGTCCGTAACACTTCATGGAGCTGTACCTTCCAAAGAGTGTGTCTTCTGTTTCCCTAAAGATGCTGAAAGCGTGTTGCTCTGCTTCATGGTGAGTGGGCTTTAGCAGTTCCTTCATTGAGGGCCTCTGCACTCCATTGTGCTCTCTCCTGTACCCCAGATCCCTAGAGCAGCCATGGGTAGCTGCATCTTTCCACTTTGAACTTGCGTGGCTTGGGGTTGAGTTTCTGCATGAGGACTGTGTTGGGAACTGCTCACCTTCTGCTCCTGAGATGGCAGAGAAGTGGGGTCCTGGAAGTTCTTGGGGATTGCTAGGTATGTGGGAATGTCATCTTCTTCTCCCTTCCAGCCAAAGAGACAGATCTGGGGCCTGGGGAGCATTGGAATAAGATCAACAGAAACTCTCTTGGTGTGTTGGGCTTGGTTCCTGAAGGAGAGCAGGAAGGTGGGCACCAAGGGCATTGGAGCTTGGGCCAAAGTCAAGAGCTGCTTGACTGCTCACAGCCCTGCTTGGGGTCCGGATGGCATCCCTCAGCAGCTCCTTGCACTGCTGCAGCTGTGGGTTACGTGTTTCATTCAGAATGTCTTGCAGGAAGCGGCAGGCTCTGCATTCCAGGGCTTTTAGTCATTTCTCTCTTAGAACTTTGGGGCTGGGATTAGAACGTTCTTCAAACCACACTGTCCTCGGCAGGGCTCCCAAGAGGAAGTGGGTGGACCATGGGGAGAGAACACAAGCCTAAATTCAGGGATGAAATGAGAAGAGATCAAGGCCAGCAGAGTAAACCTCTAGAGGTCAGCTAAGGGTGTCCCAGGTATGTCGAGGGATGGAGGCTGTGGGGTGGTGGCTCTTGCCCTCCCAGCCATAGGCCAAGGGGAACAGAGAAAGTGCAGTGTGTGGTGTGTGTGTGTGTGTGTGTGTGTGTGTGTGTGTGTTTGTGTTTGTGAGATGTGAAATGGGGCCAGACAGGGAGGGTGGCAGTGTTTCACCTCACTGGACTGCATACTAAACCTTGCTTTGTCTCTAGCCTGAGGGTGAGAAGAACCTGGGCTTAACTTGCTGAGAGGGTGGTGGTGACGTGCGTTCTAGTTTGGGGTAGAAGATGGACCCCACAGATACAGAAACCCGGAGAAACCACAATGTAGGCCTGTCAGAGCATCTGCCACACTCCTGGCACTGAACTGGGTGTTGGGAATAGAGCAGGGTGCAAAACAGACTTCATTCAGGCTGTCACCGCAGGGTGTGGGACACATAGCCTGGTAGGTGCCCACTAGGGTAAGGGAGAAAAAGAGGGCTGGTTGGTGCCAGGCTCCAAAAGTGGGAAGGGAATAGGTGAGTGGGGATGGCTGGGAGGGCACGTAGTCATACACTGCTGAGGGTGTGTAAAGGAAGAGCAGAGCCCAGGCAAGGACTTGGGGGATGGCGTGGTTGCAGGTCTGGAAGGAGGCAATGTCCCAGGGGTGCTGAGGCAGGCACCTTCTCAGGTCATGGAAAGCCCAGAGGCAAACCCAAGAGGAGAGCAAGGGACTGTCCTCTCTTCTGAGTTCTGGGGTAGAAGAGTCCTGGTCCAGCACTGCAGGATGCCAGCGCTTTGAGGTGCCAGGATCCTCACTAGGATTCCCAAGATTTGTTATCCTGATCCTGGAACAGGATGAGATCTCAGGGCCCATGACTCTGGGATATCAGATGACAAAAAGGGATTCCAAAGACGTAATTAAGATTATAAATTAGCAACTGTGCGCTCATGAAAGGGTGCCAACTCTCATCCCACCAGCCCCTTGGAAATAGAGGGTCTCTAGCTGACTGCAGAGCATAGATTTCCAGTGCAGGGATTCGATGGTGACTTGAAGATGGAGGGGCCCATGATCAGACCCTTGCAGAGGGCAGCTACTGGGAGCTAGCAGGCAGCAGGGAGGCAGTGCCCTTCATCCTACAGCTGTAGGAATTGGTCTGCCACGGTAGAGTACACTGGGGCCTGTATTCTCTCTCAGAGCTTTTAGAAAACAGTCTTGGCAGCTGAATCCTTGATTGCTTGGCCTTGCAAGAAGACAATCCAGCTGGGCTCACCTGGATTTTGATCTGTGGAGTTGTGAAATAACTAACAGGTGTTGTTCAAGCTGCTAATTTTGAGGGAATTTGTCGTACAGTGGTAGAAGCCAAACATTCCCCACTTTCTCCTTGCCCCCTAAAAGGGCTTTAGTGGGGAGGTCTGTGACTCTCACTGCACACGTGGGGCCAAGGATGGTTTGCAGGTATCTGGTTGGGGCTCTGGCCTGGGCCAAGCTTGTTCCAGAGTTCTTTGCCTCACAAAGACATCTCCTACCATAGCCACAAATGAACTACAGACACTGGGCTCTGGCCAAGGGTACCTTGTCCCCCGCCCCCAGGGTGGGGCCCCTCAGCATCTCACATTCCCCTTTTTTAAGAACCACCCGCAGCTGCTCCCAGACCACAGCCTGCAGGGTGCAAGGCTGCCCCAGCCCTACCACCTCCCTGGGGATGCTCTGAGCAGAAACAGGAGAAGGGCAGTGACCTCAGCCTCCCTCTTCCTCTCAGATGACAAGTCTGGGCTCTGAGAAGGGAAGAGATTGGAACTGGGATCCAAGACGCTATAAAGTTCACCCCTCCCCCACTCCAACCCCAAACATTCTCTGATCCATGAGGACAGGGATGTTTAAAATTGTGCATTTGGGCCAGTGAGATGGCCAGTGGGCAAAGGCATTTGCTGTAAAGTCTGACAATCTGAGTTCACTCCCCAGCAGTCACATGGTAGAAGGTGAGAAACAACTCCCACAGGTTTCTCTCTGACCTCCATATGTAGCACATGTACAACACACACACACACACACACACACACACACACATTTAATAAAAATTAAAAAACAAAAGTGTGTACTTGTGTCCTTAACAAATTGATGGGCACATGATCAGGTATCTCTTGGGAAGAGAGATATTTGCAAAGAAGAAGTTTATGTTTCTGCTTTACTGATTAAAAAACTCTAACGAAGACTTTCTCATTTCCACATCAGACCCGCTCTGGAAATCTCTAACTCTTCCCAGATGGTATATAGTTCTCTCTCCAGCCCCTTGCAGGGTGGGGTTTCAGAACACTAGGGTTTGTGTTGGCCAGACCTGGGAATCTCTCTGCCATTTTCCGCTAGAGGAGGTAGGGTGGATAACCTTTCCCAGCCTTGGTTTCTTCAGATAGACCGTTTCTAACACACGTAACTGCCTGGTAGGGAAGGAGACAGTATTTCTATGCTTACCTGACTGCCTTATCACAACACAGAGTTTATTTTTGGTTTTTTGAGACAGGGTCTTGCTAAGCAGATCAGGCTAGCCTCGAACTCTCTATACTACCCGTCTTAGCCTCCTGAGTATGGAGATTACGGGCTTGTGCCACCACATCCAGGGGAAATCTTCTTTTGACAAGTGGAAAATAATTTTCATTCTCATGATAGGTGGGCCTGACCAGCCAGAACCAAAAGTCTTCACTCAGCATCTGCCTGCCTTCATGTTCTCCCACCCAAAGCCACTTCTATCTGTAGCCAGTTCCTTCTTTCAGGCCTTCCCTGGCTAGATCCCATGGCCCTGGGGATATGCTGGGGGAGAAAGCTCTAGAAGACTCTTGCAGCTCAGTGTGAATGAAAGGAGACCACTCAGGGGTGACAGTAGTGTCCCAGACATGAGGATAGGCAGGCCAATGTGCCAGTCTAACATGCAGGAGAGGAGAGTGAGGCTTTAGAGATCCCCAGGGTTTGTTTGCAGGGCCCATGGGCAGCCCTGTGCAGGTCCCACCCCTGCCTGGTTTCTCTAGTCTTGATTGTTAGCAATGTTGGGGTTTCATCTATATGCTCTCAGATGTAGCTTTTGCTGCTAATGTTTCTCTGGTGGGGAATCTTTTTAAACTTTCCAGAGTTGTCAAGGTGAAGGTTGGGTTGGGCAGATCTTGGGGACAGAGTTTAGGGTTGTGTATAAGCCATGGGAGTTGTCATGTATTTGGGAAGTAAAGGTTGATGGGAGTTCTGGGGTCTGTCCCATGTGAGGAAGATGAAGAGATGAGGTGTGTGTACCTGAGGATGAGGGAAGATGCTAAGAAAGACGGTGTTTGAGGGCAACTGCTGGTCCCCGGGGCTTGGGGGCAAAGCTGGTTCCCCTCAGGGCTTCCTTGAGGGCAGAGGTGCTGGTAGCCATCCTTAAAGACCTCAGTCTTCCACATGGGCTGGAACTTTGGAGCAGGGCCAGGCACTACCCTCAGCTGTCTTCCCCACCCCCATTATGGACGCAAAGCTGAGCCAAGCATGAAACAGACAGCCTCTCTCTGCCTCTCTGTTTCCACCCCCATCCTGCCAGAGTCTGGTTTTCATCACCCATTAATCACTGACGCTTCCCACAGCCTGTGTCTGTCTATCCACACTCAACAACCCCTGGGCCTTTGGGGGCTGGATAGACAGTCAAACAGATGGACTCTGACTTGGGGAAACATCAAGTCACATGAGGAGTGGGGGCTGCTCCCCACTCCAAGGCAGGGGACAGGCATGATCCTGGGCTTGTCTGAGGTTACCCCCACTCCCAGTTCAGCCTGAAGCTGCCAGACTGCCCACCTCACTCCGGCAGCAGGCGACAGAGGCCATTAGCTGTCCTCTATGCCAGGAAGGAAATGGGTTGGAGGGCTGAGGAATTCTAATTAAGCTTCTCCAGCTGGCTGGCTGGCTGGCGGGTGAGAGCTGGCACCTCCACCCCTGCCAGAGTTGGTGCCAGCCCTATCCGGTCTGGCCTGCTTGGTGCCCACCTGCTGCTGTGGGAACCCCATTTGTGGGCTGCCTTGCAAAGCCCCCTGAAGAGTCCAAGGCACTGTGGGTTTCCTCTTGGCTCCTGTCCTCACTCTCCTCTTCCTACCTACCATGACAGCTCTGAAGGTGACAGGACCTTCATCTCAACTGAGCTGGTTTTGCTCTGATCCACTATCAGGTTTGAGCTACTTACAATCTCTTTGGGCTTCAGTTTCCTGGGCTGTAAAATGGGATAATAATTTTAGTTTGCATTTCTTAGGGTAACTCCTACGATTACTAGAATAACTAGCATTTATTTGGTATCTGCTGGATGCAAACAATGAGGTACGACTGTTGGAAGGGGTGCCCTGGGAAGGTCATTGTCCCTGACATCATTGTTTCAGGCCATAAAATCACTGAATTTGATGGCACAATTTACCTTCTATGCTTCCCTCTCTTTCGTATACACTTTTCCCTATTGTATGCAGGCAGCTGGACCTCCCTGCTGTCCTGGGTCTTTTCTACCTTCAGTAGGATTTTTATTTTAATACAGGAGGGTTCCGAAGTCAATTCTTATCCCCAAGGCATGAGGTTTTGATGCCTGATTGACAGGTAGAGTTTAGTGGGAGAATCTAGAGGAAGAGGTTCACTTCAGAGGCTGCCAGCTGATGTTACAGGGAGGGGAAGCTCCAATCACTGACTGGGCTTCGCTCCCTTCCAAGTGACTTCCCTTGGAGCTGGGAGCACAGTGTCCATTCTGGTGTGACAGGGGAGGCGGGTAGTGGCAGCCATGAGGGCCATTTTCAGAGTGTGACAGATTTGGTTTGTTTTATTTTCTTTGCTCTTTTTTTTTCTTTAAAATAAGTTTTTAAAATTATTTTTTAATTTTACGTGTATGAGTGTTTTGCTTGTATCCATGTAAGTGCACCACCACGTGCATGCGGTACCTGAGAAGTCAGAAGAGGGCATCAGATTCTCTGGAAGTGGAGTTAACAGATGGTTGTTAGCTACCATGTGGGTGCTGGGAACTGAACCTGGATCC